AGGTGTATAACAGAAAAGCTTTCTGTCTTACTCGTGACCGTTTAGAAACTCGCGTTTAGTGCATCGTACTGAAACATTAAGAGGTCGAACGCAGCAGCTAGCGCGATTAATCCTCGAAAGACTCGGGCAGCCAGCGTGGCCGCGTAGGTGTCTCCCCATTCTGCTTGAAGATCTCCGCGTACGACAAGTCGAGCCTTGAACTTATACAAGTATCCATCTTGATCGAACTTGTATGTGTACACCCACATTAGGGGTAAAACCTCAGCATCAGCAGTTGATGAGGTTGCAGGTGTTTGAGCAAAGCAACCTTTCTTCCAACAGTTGTCAAATTCGACATTCATTGCCTTCTGAAACTCATTGGCAAATGGGTGCGTAGCAACGTCTCGATAGCGTTTTGGAGGTGGTGGCAGCTGATCTCTATAGAGTCGAACTTTCGGTAATTCTCCGAACAGTTTCGTCGTTTCTGGTTGACTGATTGCGGCCAAAAATGTACTATAGTAGGTCATATTCGTACTCAGGTGATTATGATCAGAGTAGTTGGCTCGGTGTCGTCTTCGGTGTCCTTCAATCACATTCTCTTGACTGCCAACCTCTGGATTCAAACGTCTTGGAGCGTTGTTCTGGTATCGGTCTGGCACGTAGTCTTGGTATTGATCTCCCCAACCGCCTGGTACGTTTTGTCGACGGGAAACCATTGATTCTGGTGTTGTAGGGCTATCATCGGGATGTCTGACCCTAATCGTAGATTCTGGTGTTGCAGAATTATCGAATTCCTTGTCTAGATTCCCTAGTTCGAACTGAATATCTTTCTCGGTTGCTGTTTCAGCATCGTTTCGGTCATTCTGGGTTAAAGAGTTGTTTTCCTCATAAGTCTGTTTCTGTAATGGAGACAGAAGGTCCTCAATGTCTATGAGCGCTCGAGGTGTGGGTATATCCAAGATCTCAATTAATCGCTCAGCTTCTTCTGAGAGCTTCTCAGGCTCATCGTCGTTCTTCATGAGGTGCTGTCGTGCAAAGACCACATCGCGTGTTCGTATAACACGTCCCTTAGATGGTATCCAGATACGGAAGATGTTTGTCGAATCGTAACCAACCAAATATCCAATCATCGTTCGGGATTCAAGCTTGTCTCCACGCTTGACCTTTCTGTCGAGCACGTGAGCACGACATCCAATTGGAGCCATATGCGCTACTGATGGTTTTCTACCAAACACTCTTTGGTAAGGCGTCTCCCAATCGAGGCTCTCTGTTGGCGTGATGTTAAGCAACATAGCGGCAGTGATAACAAGCTCGTTTGCTAATTCCTTTGGAAGTCCTGATGAGATTCTCAATGCTCTTCCACGTTCGACTATGACTCTTCCAGCTCTTTCAGCATTTGGATTTTGCGCAGGAGTATCAGCGGCTCGCGCTTCAATCTTGATACCAAGCTCTTTGCAGACATCGTACAATAGCTCGCGGTAACCAGGCTCGCTGTCGATACGAAATACAACCACAGTGTATTCGAATTGTCGTTGAATCTTTGCAATTAGAGCCTTAATCACATTCACAAGGGTGCTCTTTTGTCGGTTTGGTATCGTTGTGACTTCATGCCACTTAATCGAATGGCAGATCGCGTGAAAGGCATACTTGTCACCATTGTAACAAGCTTCTCCTTGAGGAAGTAATTGAACCAGATCAATGCCAACGCGATAGAAAGGCGTTGTATTCGTATCTTCAGGGGTCCTTCGAGAGATTTGTTGCGTCATTTTCGACTGGATACACACATCGCAGTCCTTCCATTTCGGCGCTTTGTTGTCTCCAACAAGTTCAAAACCTGTAACGCTTTCAGGCAGATGATCAATTGCCTGCTTGCTCGCATGTCCCCACAACTGATGCGCTTCGTTGGCCGTAGCAACGATCGCTGGTCTTGGTTTCTGAGATGTTCTTTGGGGCTGAAACCGAGCAGCAAATGTTGATAACGTACTTAGCTCGGGTCTGTCATTCTCCTCAGCATCGATAAGCCAGTGCCCATTGCTGTACTCCAGCATTGCGACCACATTGCTCGGGTTGTTCTGGTATAGCAAGTCGCGTCCTGAATCGAAATGGATTCCTAGCGGTCGACAGCGCGATAGACCAAGAACATTGGCAAAGAACCCTTCTACCAATGCAACGTGAGTGAGCTTAATAGGTGCCTTGCCAGATGGTGTTCGTACATTGAGCACAACAGTGCCCCATTCAGCGATCTGAACAACCTGGCCACCAGCATAGATCACTTCTCCAGGTTTAGCTTTGCTTACAAAGGACCAGCCAAATTGTCTAGTGTTGCAAACATGTGCGTTCGATCCAGGATCCAACACCCATCGGTTCATAAGGTGTGGTACTTTAGTCGTTGCAGTATTGAAAGTCTGTATTAAGGCGTTTTTCTGAATAGGACTCGTGGCTAGTTGATCGTCGTCAAAGCGAATAGGAGTCGGAGTCGAAGTTGATGAAGATGCAGTACCGTTCTTCGAGCTAGTCATCTCCGGTCTTTTCTTAGAAGGTCCTTGTCCCTTCTCTGCTCGAAGAATGTAGTCTTTTAGCTTTGGATGCTTCTTTGCCCTTTCTTTTGCTTCAAAGATGTCCTTGTCGCCTTGCCAGCCATCTTCTCGTAGTTTCGGGTTGCAATATTTGCACTCAATAAACAAATGGTACTCGCCACAAAAGCACTTCGGCTTTCTTTGCTTGTGACCTCCGTTTGTATCAGCCATTCCTAACGTAGCTGAAAATGTCCCTATTCCTGCTGCTCTAGGGCTTGTACGACTGTGGAATGTTCGAAATTTCGACACGTAATCTCGTAGAGATGGAACTGGTGTTCCTGCTTCGTCCTTAGCAAGGAGATCAGTGAGCGTCATTGTTGCCCATGCGTCATCGAGTGGTTTGACGGCAATGAGGAAGTCTTCCTGGCTCCGAGAACCATTTACGTCCGGTAGATTAAGCGTTCTCATCTGGTCGGTGATCTTGATCCAATCGTCCAGCCATCCTTCAACCGCTCGGCCTCGCCGTGTTGCTTGCAAGTCCCTGTACTTAGACTCCGCAACAATCAATTCAATCCGGTCACTCTCCTAGACCCACTTACCTATCTAGGTAGGGCTTAAACTCCTATAGGTAACTACTAGGCTTAAAGCGGTAATCAATCAATCCAATCTGAACCTTCTAGGCATACTTGTCAACGAGCGAGCCGGCTCGCTCAGCTCGCTCGGCTTGGACGTTTTGACCAAGCCGAATGAGCTGAGCGCGCAATGCGCGCTTGCAAGCCGAGCGAGCTTAGGGATAGGCGCTCGCTCAGTCAGCTTGCTTAGCTTGGTTAGATGGGGCGGTTGGAAACTTGGGGCTGAAGGACTTGGTGGAGGGGCAATCTCACGATGATTTTTAGGTGTAGTGCGTAAGTTCGAAACCTAGTTATAACATAAAATACACTCTTTTTTGCTATATTTCTAGCAAATAAGCTACTAAATTTCCGGCTAACCGCCTGGCAACAATATTCTCCTTTTGCGACACTTCACTTACTACTTATCACCCACCACACTCATCTATACTCCATCAACGCGTCTCTATTTGCAGCTACTATCTACCTCGCCGTTGCTATAATGCCAGCAAAAAGAACACGCGTTAATGCTCCAGAAATCGCGGCAACTTTATCAACAACTTTATTGAGCCTGCAGGGCTTACGGAGAACGAGGAAGATGAATATGAGGCTTGGAAACGCAGCGAACCGATCGCTGGCGAGGGCGTCGACCCTATAAAATACTGGGTAGAACTCCGCGATCGCCACCCTAGCCTTAGCAAATTTGCTATCGACATGCTATCAATCCCAGGCTCAAGCTGTGAGTGTGAGCGCTTATTCAGCGAGCTGGGTGACCTCCTCGAGCCCCGTCGGCGCAGCATTTCTCCGCAACTTCTAGCAGCAATACAGTGCGATCGACGATGGATAAGAGCTGGATTTGGCAGTGGTGAGGTGCCTGTAAAGGGGGTTATCAGCGATGAGGAGATGGACGCGAAATACGGTGTACATAAGTGGGATATTAGCTGAGAAACTCAACACCAAGGTTTCTATATAACTTTCCTAATCGGGACTGAGCCCATCAAGCCGAGCGAGCTGACAGCCCTGTTTCAGCCAATCCGAGCGAGCCGAGCGAGCTGCTGGCCTCCGCTCAATTGGCTGAGCAAGCCAATTGGCTGAGCTCGCTCAGCTTGCTCATTGACATCTGTGCTTCTAGGACCCACTTAATTGATTGTTGCGGACTGTGCCTGTACTTGACTACAAGCTCGCGTGATCGTCTTGCAGTGTTCGGCGAAAGGTGCTCCTTAAGAGCCTTCAGTCGTTCGTAGGCCGTTGATTTGCCTTCGAGTAGATATAGATTGCTTCGTGCAGTTGTCTGCGCAATCTCCGATGTCAATTCATTCAGTGCCTTCTGCCGGTGCAGATAGGTCTTTTGGTCGTATTCCCAGGCGTCTAGCAGGTCCTGGTAGTCGAGTCGTTGTTCATGAGTAAGCTGTGAGCGAAGCGTTACTCCTTCTGCTACAGTAGCAGGCGTCGGTCGCACAGGTTCGATAAGCTTCTTCAGCTCATGTTGCGACATGTCGGGATTGCAGTACTCCCATATACCATTAAGAGTAGCTTTATCCCGCCTAAGAAACAGCCATTCTTGCCAATCAGATGGCTTCTCAAGAATGACGGTAGTCTTGGTCACAAGACTAGACGATTCGGTTGCAGCCATTGCGACAAGCAATACGGTGGCAGCAAAAGACGTTCAACAAGGTATTCGACAATCAAACAAACAATAGAATACACTTGAGGAAAGACAAGTGAACAGCAGTTATTGAAGAAGGGTGCAGTAGCACGTATCCGGGCTCATAACTATCGCAGTAGACAAGACGTCAACAACTGCATATGAGAACTGCGTTGATTGTCCTACGGAGTAGATACACAAGGTTATATACATAAGATATGCGTAAGCACATAACGGCAAAGGAGTGAAAGTGAAGGTTGTAGAACATTCGGCCAAGAAGCATCGGGCCGATTCCAAGAAGGGTAGTCCTGAATGGCAACACCTTCTGCAGGCGGCGTGTCGCTTCTAGGTAGGCGCGAGAGGGAAGAGAGCTCCTCCGCAAGGTGAAGGGCCCGATCAAGGTGGAATAGCTGGGCGGTAGTGAGCCTGTGTAGCAAGGGGATGCTCTGCGTAGGCTGGCTTGTTCGATACACGAAGCAGAGAAGGCGCTTCCAGATGCCCTTGTACGCGCGGAACGTGCTCTTAGCTAGCTTGACCATAAGCATACGATCGTGCTTGCCCGAACGGCCGGCGATAAAGCTGTTAATCTGTGCCTGGTCAAAGACGCTAATCTTGTCCTCGCAGATAGATTGGTGCGCGCGCTCGATAATTCGGTCGAAGCTCTCTCCAAAGAGGACAAGGGAAGGCTCAGTAATTGGATTCGCTGCGTACGCCAGCGGCGCAACGTCAGCCATGTTCAGGCCGTGGAAGTAGCGTGGCCACCGCGTCATCTCAAGCCATGGCGATACCTCAGTCTTCGAGACCTGGCTGTTGTAGATCTGCGCTCGAGCGTCCTGCTCGTCGTTCCCTGCTGTGAGCTGCTCATCGATCAGGGCTCGGAAGACATCAGCATGCCCTCTTGGTCTACTCTTCACTAGCTCCTGCACTTTATCTGGGACATTGACAGTAAAGAAGGAGCTCTGCGCGCCTGCGGCGAAAAAGCGCTGGCAATAGACCTTAGTGAACATAGGTCCACTGTCCTGAGCCGGTATACCTGCTATCTTTGCTTGGCGACCTGGCTTCCGTGGCACAAGGCGATGTACGTTGAAGTGCCTTCCCATAGAGATCTCAGCTTCTTTTCCTTGTGAGCGCAGCACAAAACTGCAGCGCGTACACTGGTAGCCGCGGTGGAGTTTAAGCTCAGGAATAGGCAGGTTTGTTGCAGGCGGCGTTGGGAGCTTTACTATGGCTGGATCAAGGAGTTGGTATCGATCGCAGAGATAGTTCGCAAGCAGAGTAGCTGGGTTCCGTGATTGGGGGGCGTTAAAGAGATTTGTAGCGGCATGACGCGCATCGTAGAGGTGGTGGACTTTGATGTGGGTAGAAAGCGTAGTAGGCGGGACAGCGTAGCCGCATGGCTTGCAGATTAGCACGCTTGAGGGAGAATAGAATGTAAACAGGTCCATAGCTGCGGTGGTGGTGGCTGTAGTAGGCGTGCGGCAGAGAGAAAGAGCGCACAAAAGGAACACTTTGCAACGTAGCGTAGTAGTGAAAAACGCGCTCGCGTTACGCGTTACGCGTAACGCGCTGCTGCAAAGCAGCGTGTTTCTTATTATTTACATTTGCTCTTTCAAAGTCTAGGTGAAGGTGGAGTAGGTGATGCGTGATAGATCCAACGCACAGTAGTAGATATTCTGTCCTGCAGGAAGCTAAACGCGGGAGCAGCGAAGAACTTTGATGAGGCGAGGCGCTAGGCAGGGGTGCGATGCTGCGACGGCGGTGATTGGCTGTTAAATGGAGTGAGGGCTCATTTATTCAAGTATATATCTTAGGGTACTGGACTAACCCAGCCCAGCTGCGAACCTGCTGTCCAACTGCCTCAGCCTCCTTGTAACTAACCTTATGCTGCTTCTGTAGATGGCCTTCAATCTGATCTGGCCATACTGCATATCTGCACTCTCTGCATGCCGCTATGCTGTACTCGGGTACATGCTCGAAATACTGGCACTCTATACTGGGTTCGGACATATTGAAATGCTGGTAAAAACGCTTAACAATACCTACGCTGACCGACGCTACTTGGCTTCTTATAGAGACGTAGAGTAAAGATAATAGATGTAGGCCGCTCGTTGTAGTGTTAGTAATGTGGTCACGAACGCGTCGCTTGGGTACACGGTGGTTTTGCGGAAATTTGACCGAGGTTGTGGGGTGCACGGGCGGAGTGTGGGAAGTTTGATCAAGTTTCTGGGGCGCACGGGCAGAAGGGGAGAAGTTTGATCAAACTTCTATTAGCCCAGTATGACCGAATCGCTCGTTAAACACGTTATATTAAGTTAAAGTGTGATTTCTTTCACATACGACCATAGGACACTGAGAACTAGGCTTCCCGTCCGCTCAGCCATATATAAGCAGTGTACCGGCGGATTAGTAGTTAGGTGGGTGACCACTAGCGAATCCCCGCTGTTGTATGTTTTTGCTTTTTTTTGCCAGAAGTCTCAGTATTTCCACCTAGATGGAATATTTTGTCAAATAGAAGGGTGCACAGAAGTCAGAGGCCATAATAAGGGGCAATGGGAACAGCCAATCAGAGCCGAGAGAGCCTTGGCACCCCCTCAAATGAACTGTTATTATTATTATTGAGAAGCTAGCACTATTAGTAGTAGTATAACTACCTAATAGAGTGCTCTTCCAAGGCACAACGGTAGTGGTGGTACGATTTGTAAGGGTCTCACATAGGTCAGGTATTTGAAACTGTGTTGAATTACAAAGTAATTGCAGTGCAGAGCTTGTAAGAAGCTCTGCGCGGAATATATCTAAGTGGGGGTGTGCATGGGCCACCAAACAGGTGGCTCGTGCGCGAACATCAAAACAACGCTAAGGCATCTGGCAGGTGGCCTGTGCGGGGCAACGGCCCAAAACCATCACACGATTCGTATTGTATTGACTAAGGAGCTATCCACAAGTTCGCAGATCCGTGTTGCGTGCAGCTGCGTCCAAGCTCCCCGCTAGGATCCACCTGCACGTGTCACCAATTATGTGACTACTCCTCCGCTTGATACCACCAAGTCACTTACGGACTGTATTCTCAACAATTATTATATTTCTATTAGAGTCCTGTATCAGTCGGTGTGTCAGAATATGGGCATATTTTGGGTGGTGGACAAAATCCGGGTGTTCGGAGCTGTGGATTCTGTGGATCAGTTAAATTAGTCAGCGCGCACAATCCACCGCGACCTAACTGATCGAACAGCGTTGGACAACAGAAGAACACCACACAAGACCACAACAATACAATCGATCCCCATCATATTATTATACTATTATCCCCGTCTTTGATAACCCATCACAATCTGACACGGTGACTATGTAGGACTTTGGCTAAGCCGTTCTATGTAGGCAGACTCCGCAACAATCAATCGATTGACATGATTGATTCCTATATAGGTTAAAGAATTACTTCATTAGGCAGCCTTTAACCTAGATAGGAATCAATCATGCCGATCCGATTGATTGTTGCGGAGTCTGTATGTAGGTTAGTTACTGTGGAATTTCTATAGGTCTTGTACAATTTAGAGGATAGTTTACGTAGTCCAATTTCAGAGCTAGTCTTCTGTTGGCGCAGGTGCTAAAGAGCAGTATAGTGAGTAGAAAGAGATGTAGCAGCGGGCTCTTTTGGGTAAGGAAATGTTGTGTTGTAGTTTTATACAGTGTCTATCTGTGCTGTGGTTTGACCTGGCTGCCATTTCCTCGTGCTAATCCTAGTACTTGCAATAAAAGCTATAGTTGTGAACGGTCCGTAGGAACTGTATTCCAGCTACCTAGTCCAGATGCTATTTACAGTCAAGATGAAGAAAGAAGGTAAGACGCAAGCGGCGAGCCTGCTTTGTTTGGGTTGGCGCACGGCCCTCACGTTGCCGGGGAAGCGACTAGGCTAGCAGCCTAGTTATGTGACTCGAGGCTCAGCCCGTTACAATAGTAGCTTCAATGCTAGTCTTTGTTTGGAGGAGAAGTAGTAGCGTAATAGGCCTGTGCTGTATTGCTTCTTTGAGTATATTTCTGTGTGTTTTTTATAGGTTGCATTCTATAAGTAGATGCTGTGGCGTTTGTGGTTTATAGCATATGCATAGGTCGCAGTCTCTCTTGTTGAATCTCTTCAGGTAGGAGTTGAAGTATCCGTGTCCTAGCTTAAGTAAATAGAACGCGCTCGAGATTTCTCTTAGTGTTCCCTTTAGGACTTTAATCGTTGTTTGTGTGTTGAGCTTGTAGATTCTTAAGTAGGAGCTTCTGTTTCTAGTAGGCCCTGTCTATGTATCTCTTGTACTCCGTCATTTGTTCTGTTTTTTGTATTTTCTTGATTTCTGTGCCTAAGTAGGCTAGACTGGCTGTGGTAGGTGTTGTTAGGCTCTCTTTAGCTGCTGCCTTTGCTAGCGTATCAGCTTTTTCGTTGCCGTTGACGTCCCTGTGTCCGGGGGCCTATTGTAGATAGATGGATGCTTTCTTTGTTGTTATTTTCTTTGCTGCTCTGATGCATCTTAGTAGCCACTATTGTCCTGGTTTGTCGGATAGGCTGTTAAGCCTGTGAATTGCTGCTTGGTTGTCTGCGTATACGTGGATCTCTTGGCCTTCTTTTGCAACTGTAGCCGCGTGTTTGAATGCCTGTGCTATCCCTTCTAGTTCACCGTTGTAGACTAATTAGGAGCAGCCAATATTAGTCTTTTTAGAGAAGGTTTCTATGTGGGTAGAGCTGTACGCTACTACGCCGATCCCTATTCCCTCGTTGTGCTGTGAGGCATCTGAGTAGATTGTGTCAGCCTGTCAAATATATATACCTTCAAGCATTCACTGCAAGAAGGTCGGCCTTTTTGTAGTTTGACAGATTGCGGTGAAGTTATCTCCGCTCCTTGATAGGATGTAGTCTGCGTGTGCATTTGCTTCTTCTTCTTTGGTCTTTTTCGATACAGTGACTTTGTAGTTGAGACTCTCCTGTTGGATCCCACAGTCTATCTACAAAGCTATGGCATACACAAAGGATCAAAAGGTCGAAAAGATCCCACCTATCCATGGAGAGATACTAGAGAAAACATTCAAAGGAAAGTGCAAGGCCTTTAGAAAAGCACTTTTCCCTCCTCCTCCAACAGCAGAACTACCAAGCTTTCTAAACTATCAAGAGAGCATTTGGGACTGGCCGCAACTATCAATTTCTGAGCTAGAACAAGCCTGTTCTAGTAAAGTTAAAAGTAGTACACCAGGGCCTGACGCCATTACTCAAGATATTATAACCGCTACGTTTAAGTTCAACCCAGAGATCCTCTTCATCGCCTACTCAATCTTGTTTAATTACGGATACCACCCTCGGTGCTGGAAAGCAGCTACAGGAGCAATTCTCAAAAAACCATCCAAACTAGACTACTCTCCCCTCATCAACCTCTCTAAAGAAAAACATAAGAGCACTGCAAAAAGAGATAGCTACACTCTTTGCCAAGGGAGAGCAGCTAGACATTATCTTCGACACATCCAAAACAGAGCTAATCCACTTCACCGCTAAGAAGGAGAGGATAGAAAGAGCCCTCATACTCCCAAACAACGACCGGATAGAACACAAAGACACTGTCAAGTGGCTAGGTATCTATCTAGACAACCGACTATCATTCAAATCACATGTGTCTATACGTGCAAGCCAAGCCAGACAAGCTTTCTACAGGCTAGGAAGACTAGCGAACATTGAACTCGGCCTATCAACACACGCTATTAGACAACTATACTTAGCATGTGTAACTAGCGTGTCAGACTACGGAGCACAAATATACTGGCAAAACCAACCCTACGCTACAAAGAAACTACAGTCACTACACAACCTGGCTTGTCGAAAAACTCTAGGTGTCGGATCGTGAGTATCGGTAGAGACGTCGGCTGCTGGACACTTCGGCCCGACTTCGGCCCACCTTGCGCAAGAGCTTAGGTATACCTTCGTAGCACCTATGTTCGTAGATATCAATTAGAACCACCGAACAGAATGCATTCCTAGTTATCGTTATTTCCCTTTACGCACTTAGTGCAAAGCCAACCAACACTAGGAGTGTTTAGAACAGCACCAACAGTCCCTACAAGCCTCGAAGCGAGCCTACTACCACCAACAATTAGGCTTAACTCAACTATCCGGAACTACGCAAGCAGAGCAAACCTGCTAGCCAACACCCATCCAATTGCAAAGGCAATAACTCGGATCCAATCAACTAATCTCCAACGCTCAAAGAAACCAAACCAGCACAGACAGCTACAAACTATTACTAACGCAATTCCTAAAAACAACAAAAGAGACACAGAGCAGACTATCCCATACCGGTTTAGGCCATGGGATACTCTAAACTATACCGTAACAGTCTCTCAAAAATCCAAAGAAGAGGAGGCAAATGCGCACCAAGCCTACATTAAAACAAGGCTAGACAATTACACGACAATATACTCAGACGCCTCGCAAA